GACATGAAGAACAGCTTCATCTACGTGGGGTATCTCTAGTGGGAATCACTGGCTTACCTGCATTCTCCCTGACTTGTTTTCAGACATTCAAAATTGCAAATTCTACTGGACGTTTCGAGTTTGATTGCCGGGGAAGCGTATACATCAAGGGGAAGGTTTGATTTTTGTCTAAAATGTGGTGCGGTCGCCAATCGGCAACTGTTGAATTTAGGGAGAGATGGTCACTCACTTTCTGCGGAAGAGCACCAAGAAGAGCATATGGGAAATCATCGACAGAGAGCGAGGTAAAGTCTCTTGTGCAATCCGCGAATCTGTGATGCGCGCGGTCGCGATACAGCATGATTATCACCTTTGTTTGTAACCACGTTATATTGTTTTTTTTTCGTCTTACACCACGCCTACTTCACGTGATTCGCCGCAACCGCTTCGCGACCGCGCGCGTCAGCGCTGTACAACACGCGCTACTGTTCGATCGTGTTTTATGTACCTAATCCAGTCTCATCCGATTATTTCAGATGTCAATAAAAACTCCATCGACGGATACGAGGAACTCGAGACGGGCATGCCTTACTCCGAACCACATCAGACTATTATACAGCCAGTGACGGCTACTACATCAAAAACTTGCACAATTTCATAAATAGTTTTATGTGTTGTCACCAGTGCTCTGCAAAAGCAGTCATTGTGTTGAGAAGCGTATTCTTTTCTTGCTTTTCAGCCCTGATTATGCTAAGTGAACGTCTCTCTAGGGACATCACCTCCCTACGTGCCTAAGTGTGTACGTTCGCTGCGGATGCAGTGGTGTGTTAGGGGCTGGGTTTGGCGCCGCCCTGACACGCCCCAGTATCTGCGGCGAAAACGACTGTAATTGCCGACAAGTTCCATTCAGAATGTAGAGGAGAGCAATGAAATCAATGAAGCAATGAAACCATCCAAACACTGTGACGCAAAATGTGATTTCTCTAATCCAAACCAAAAGAACTCTGAAATCAAATTAGTGTAAAAATATACACTTCACCAGAGATGGAGAATCCGTGGCTGCACATTTCATTGAGTTGAGGCGGCAGCTGCGCTCCTGGGGTGGGAATTGCAGTTCCAGAGCAGTTGCAACCACGACTTTGTCCAGTACAAGATAGAACAACACTTGTCAAATGGAAATGTTCCGCGAACGA